GAGCTTAAGTTTGGGAGAAAGACGGTGTTATGCCAAAGTGGTTTGTAGTGGTGCACTTATCTTGCTTTATCTGACTTTCCATTTTAGGCAAAACCGAAACCACAAAAGACTTGGGTCGTGCCCTTGGCATTATGGTCTACGTGTTCAACTGCTCGGAACAAATGGACTACAAGTCGGTTGGAAATATCTACAAAGGCCTCGCACAGTCCGGCTCATGGGGCTGCTTCGATGAGTTCAACCGCATCTCCATTGACGTGCTTTCAGTGGTGGCAGTGCAGGTGAAGTGCATCCAAGACGCTATTCGAAACAACTGCGCTCGCTTCAATTTCCTTGGGGAAGAGATTAACCTCAATCCCACTGTAGGCATTTTTATCACCATGAATCCCGGTTACGCGGGTAGGACTGAATTGCCCGAGAATCTAAAGGCTCTTTTCCGACCCTGTGCCATGGTGGTGCCTGATTTTGAGCTCATTTGTGAAATCATGCTGGTGGCGGAAGGTTTCATGGAAGCACGTCTGTTGGCACGAAAATTCATCACTCTATACGGGTTAGCTAAGGAACTGCTCTCCAAGCAGGATCACTACGACTGGGGCCTACGAGCCATTAAGTCGGTTTTGGTGGTTGCCGGTTCACTCAAACGTGGTGATCCTACCCGTCCAGAAAAAGAGGTTCTCATGCGAGCTCTTCGTGATTTCAATACACCCAAAATTGCTGCAGATGATTTGCCCGTCTTCATGGGTCTGATTACCGACCTCTTCCCATCAATGGACGTGCCGCGGAAAAGAGATCCGGCCTTCGAGGAAGAGGTGCGAAAAGCTGCCTTGGATTTGAAGCTGCAACCTGAAGACAATTTTATTCTCAAAACAGTACAGCTAGAGGAACTGCTTGCTGTTCGTCACTCAGTTTTCATTCTCGGCAATGCTGGCACTGGAAAATCTACAATTTGGCGTGCCCTGTTTAGGACGAACCAGAACTTGAAAAAGAAACCTGTCGTTGTGGATTTGGATCCAAAGGCAGTGACAAATGACGAACTTTTTGGAGTCATAAATCCGGCCACTAGAGAGTGGAAAGATGGTCTGTTTTCAGTGGTGATGCGAGACCTTTCCAGACTGACTCATGATGGACCTAAGTGGATAGTACTTGACGGTGACATTGATCCAATGTGGATTGAATCCCTCAACACTGTGATGGATGACAACAAGGTTCTCACTCTGGCTAGCAACGAGAGAATTCCACTGAAACCTAGCATGCGACTCATTTTTGAAATCAGTCACTTAAAAACAGCCACACCGGCAACTGTCTCTCGAGCTGGCATTCTTTTCGTCAATCCTCAAGTGCGTGTTGCAGATAACCTTAAGCGATTGTAATTATTGTCCCCTTATTGTTTCATTTTCTAGTCGTTATTCCTTCTCTTCTAGTGGTTTCTTTGATTGTGAGGAGCATGAGGACATTGTTTGTCATTTCAAATTTTAATTATGTGGTATTTTAGGATCTGGGTTGGGCACCGTATGCGTATTCATGGTTGGCCTCCCGTGACAATCGTTCAGAGCAGGCAAATCTAGGACTTCTCATTGAGACCTACGTTCCAACCTGCCTAGAGGCTCTTCGAACGCGATTTAAGACTGCTGTGCCATTAGTTGAGCTGGGTTGCGTGCAAACTCTGTGTAACCTGTTGGAGGTCCACTTGACCCCCACAAATACACCTCCTGACACACCCAAAGAGGTCTACGAGGCCTTTTTTGTATTTTGCACTGTTTGGGCCTTTGGGGGAGCCCTTGTACAGGACCAGTTGGTAAATCATAGAGCGGAGTTTTCCAAATGGTGGATCGAGGAATTTAAGTCTGTCAAGTTTCCCATCACCGCGGGTGCCACGGTGTTTGACTTCTATCTTGATCCGGAGACCAAAAAGTTTGAACCATGGAGTAATAAAGTTGAACAGTTCATTCTGGATTCCAATGAGCCACTACAGGTACGTCAGTGCAGTTGCACTTTTTAATCAAGTTGCTTAAAATAACTTAAAAAGGCTTCTAGTTTACCTTTGAAGTAGAAGTACAGATGTGGCATGTAAAACCAACCATTTTAATTAATATAATATTAGCAGATCTTTAAAAAATCCCCTTCATCAGGATGTTAGTTCATGGACCGTGAAGTTGTCTTCCTGGACAGGTGTAAAGCATTTAACAATTCCGCCTAGACGGCGCTTGTGTCGACCGCGGAGACGGCACGGATTCGATACTTTCTCGATCTTCTAGTCGCAGCTCGTCGGCCAGTCATGCTGGTCGGAGGTGCCGGCACTGGGAAGACCGTCCTGGTGCAGAATCAACTTCGAGATTTAGGAGAAGATTTTCTTGTGGTGAATGTGCCATTGAATTTCTACACCACAAGTGAGATGCTCCAACGAGTGTTGGAGAAACCGCTAGAAAAGAAAACTGGACGTTGCTACGGTCCGCCGGGTAACAAACGCCTCATCTACTTTATTGACGATCTAAACATGCCAGAAGTGGACGCCTACTTTACAGTGCAGCCGCACACTCTAATCCGACAGCACATTGACCACTCGCATTGGTATGATCGGGCGAAACTCACTCTGAAGGAAATCACCAATGCTCAATATGTGACTTGCATGAATCCAACAGCCGGCAGTTTTAGCATTGATTCACGGCTTCAGGTACCCGCCTTCCACTCCCTCTTTCTCTTACCTTACCTCCTACTGACCGTTTTAAAGCTATTTCTCCTCTTTCTCCTCCTCCTCCTCCTCCTTCCATTAGCGTCACTTCGCCGTTTTTAACATCAGTTTTCCCGAGAGGGAGGCGGTTCATTCAATATATAACTCCATCCTCTCGCAACACCTTCAACTGCCGGCTGCTGGTTTCCCACAAACCGTGCAGCGCCTAGCCTCCAACATAACGGACTTGGCAGTTGACTTTCATGCTCAAGTGACGGTCGCATTCCTACCAACTGCTTTGAAGTTCCATTATGTTTTCAATCTACGTGATCTCACAAATGTTTTTCAGGTTAGTAGGTTTGTGTGTTGAATCCTTCCTAGTCACTTTACCGGAACAAAGGGCAAATAAACTGCCTTGTTAAGATTACTTTTGCGAAAGGCATGACCACGCAAGTCTTTTCTCGTTCATCAGGGCCTCCTGTTTTCAAGAGATGAGTGTCTCAAGGCTCCAATTGATTTGCTTCGCCTCTGGATTCATGAGACTGAGCGAGTCTACGCGGACAAGTTGACAGATGTGTCTGATCAAACGGCCTTTGAAAAACTTTTGCATGATTTTGTTGTCAAGCAGTTTACAGAGTTGGACGTAGAGGAGAGTGTCATCTTCGCTAAGCCCCTTCTCTACTGTCACTTTATTCAGGGCTTTGGTGATCCTCGCTACCTTCCAGTGGAGTCAAATGACACTCTGACAAAATTATTAAATGACGCTTTGGTGAATTATAACGAGATGTATGCAGCTATGAATCTCGTCCTCTTCGAAGATGCAATTGAACATGTTTTACGAATTGATCGAATTCTTGAGTCACCGCGAGGCAACGCCCTACTAATCGGAATCGGTGGTTCGGGCAAGCAATCACTTTCGCGTCTAGCCGCATTCATAAGTTCACTTGAGGTGTTTCAGATTGTCGCTAAGAAGGGCTACTCAGTCGCTGACTTAAAGGCCGACCTGGCTGCTCTGTATCGAAAGGCGGGGCTTAAGAATGTCGGAATTGTGTTTCTCCTCACCGACGCTCAGGTGTTGGATGAAAAGTTTCTTGTAATCATAAATTACCTTCTAGCATCGGGAGAGATTCCTGATCTCTTCGCTGATGACGAGGTGGAGGAGATCATTTCCGCTGTTCAGTCAGAAGCAAAGGCTGCCGGCATTCTGGATACCAGAGAGAATTGCTGGCAGTTTTTTATCAACAAAGTGAGACGAACACTAAAAGTGATTCTCTGTTTTTCTCCGGTCGGTCCAAAGCTTCGTATGCGTGCCAGACGTTTTCCAGCACTGGTCAATTGCACTACCATAGACTGGTTCCATGAGTGGCCAGAAGAAGCTTTGCTCTCCGTATCGCGGCGATTTGTGTCGGAGATTAGCCTTCTCGATCCAGCTTTATACGAACCCATTTCCACATTCATGTCCCATGTGCATAAGACAGTGAACGATGTGAGCCGCGACTACTTGACCTACGAGAGGCGTTACAATTACACCACTCCAAAATCCTTTCTCGAACAGATTCATTTGTATGAAAACATGTTAAATAGGCGAGACAAAGACATTCGGAGCAACATTGCCCGTCTGGAGAATGGCTTACAAAAGCTAGAAAGCACAGCTCAACAGGTCGATGACCTGAAAGCTAAATTAGCAATTCAAGAGACTGAACTGGCTGCAAAAAACGAGGATGCCAACAAGTTGCTGGCTATTGTTAGTGCCGAAACAGAAAATGTGGTTGCCGAGAAGGCGGTAGCAGATGAGGAGGAAAAGAAAGTGGCAAAGATTAGAGCAGAAGTTTCGGTCAAGCAGCGGGAATGTGAGGCGGACCTGGCTAAGGCTGAGCCAGCACTTGTGGCTGCTCAGGAGGCTTTAAATACCTTGAATAAGAACAACCTGACGGAAATGAAGTCGTTTGGCACGCCACCACCGGCTGTTGTTAAAGTTGTCGCCGCTGTTGCCTGTCTCCTAGCTCCTCAGGGTCGAGTGCCAAAAGACCGCAGCTGGAAAGCTGCCAAGGCTGGGATGATGAGTAAGATAGACCAGTTTCTTGATAATCTAATCAACTATGACAAAGAAAATATGCATGAAAATTCGCTAAAAGCCGTGGCTGAGTATCTCAAAGACCCCGAATTCGATCCCAATCTAGTTCGCAGTAAATCCCTTGCCGCTGCAGGACTCTGTTCATGGGTCATCAACATCGTCAAATTCCATGAGGTCTTCTGCGTGGTGAAACCGAAACGAGATGCATTAGACGAGGCCAACAAAGAGTTGCAAAGTGCCACCGAGGCTTTAAATAAAATTCGAGAAAAGATTTCCCAACTGGAAAGTAAGTTGGCAGAGTTGACTGTCAACTTTGAAAATGCCAAGGCTGAGAAACAGAAGTGTCAGGATGAGGCAGACAACACGAAACAAACCATCGACTTAGCTAATCGGCTTGTAGGTGGTCTCGCCTCTGAGAAGCTTCGGTGGTCCCAACAAATCGAAGAGCACAAAGTTCAAGCATCTTGTCTTCCCGGAGATGTCCTTATAACCGCTGCCTTCCTCTCCTATCTTGGTTACTTCACCAAAAAGTATCGGTCTGATTTACTTGATGGATTGTGGATGCCTTTTCTAACCTCTCTCCAGCCGGCAATTCCAATGACACGTGACCTTGACCCACTTTCCTTACTAGTTGATGATGCACTTGTGGCAAAGTGGAACAATGAGGGATTGCCCAGTGACCGGTTTTCAGTTGAGAACGCCGCTATACTTACCTCTGCTGAGCGTTGGCCCCTTCTTGTAGATCCCCAATTACAAGGCGTTAAATGGATTAAGTCGCGCTACGCTGAAGGTCTCACAGTTCTTAGACTGGGTCAGAAAGGCTACCTTGATGTCATCGAGAGGGCAATTATTGAGGGTTCAGTTGTCCTGATTGAGAACATCGACCTTGTTATTGATCCAGTCCTGGAGCCCCTCATCGGCCGGAACACGATCAAGAGAGGTACAGCGATCCGCCTAGGTGGCAAGGAAATTGACTATAACCCGAAGTTTAAATTAATATTGCAGACTAAATTGGGCAATCCGCACTACGCACCAGAGTTACAAGCGCAGACAACACTAATTAATTTCACAGTGACTCGTGACGGTTTGGAGGACCAACTTCTTGCCAATGTGGTGCGAAAGGAGAGACCCGATTTGGAGACTTTGAAATCTGATCTTACGCGACAGCAAAATGAGTTCAAAATCACTTTAAAGAGTCTCGAAGACGCCTTGCTGGCAAAGCTTTCAGAAGCGGAGAGTAACTTTCTAGGTAACTATGCTCTTGTTGAAAATTTGGAAACAAATAAGAAAACTGCAGCTGAAATTCAAGGCAAAGTTGAACAAGCAAAGGTGACAGAGGAGGAGATCAACGCGGCTCGGGAAATCTACCGACCAGCCTGTGAACGTGCTGCAATACTTTACTTCATTGTCAGCGACTTGAATAAAGTTAATCCCATCTACCAATTCTCTTTGAAGGCTTTTAGTTGTGTCTTTGACACAGCCATGTCAAGAGCAGAGGCTTCTGACGATGTGAAATTGCGTGTGGCAAATATTATCAACTCGGTAACATATTCTGTGTACGTATACACATCAAGAGGTCTCTTCGAGAAAGACAAACTGTTATTTACAGCCCAAGTCGCTTTTCAAGTGTGTCAAGCTAGAGGTGAGGTGAATGCACAAGAATTGGATTACCTTTTGCGCTTCCCCATTACACCAAACGTGACCAGTCCGGTCGACTTTATCACCAACATCGGCTGGGGTGCAATAAAGGCTTTGACTGCTCTTGAGGCCTTCAACAACTTAGACTCCGACATTGAGGGCTCTGCCAAGCGCTGGAAAAAGGTGGTTGATAGTGAAAAGCCGGAGTACGAGAGACTACCTCAAGACTGGAAGAACAAGACCCACCTCCAACGTCTGTGCATTCTTCGTGCTTTACGACCGGATCGTATGCTGTATGCTGTTCGCAATTTTGTCTCTGTTAATCTCGGAAGGGTGTTCATTGAGGGGAGCAGCCTTTCATTGGCCGAGTCTTTTGAGGAGTCTGGACCAGCAACTCCCATTTTTTTCATTCTCTCACCGGGTGTTGATCCACTGAAAGATGTTGAGGCTCTTGGGCGGCAGCTCGGTTTCACTAGTGATAGGAAAAACTTCCACAACATCTCTTTGGGCCAAGGCCAGGAGGGTGTTGCCGAGGAGGCGATGAAACTGTCTGCGCAAGAAGGCCATTGGATTATTTTACAGAACGTACATCTGGTAGCGAAGTGGTTGCCGGCATTCGAGAAGATTCTAGAAGAGCTCATGGACGGAGCACATGAAAACTACCGAGTCTTCATAAGTGCTGAGCCCGCGAGTTCACCCGAATTCCATGTGATTCCCCAGGGAGTGTTGGAGAATTCCATCAAAATCACAAACGAACCTCCCACTAGTATGCAGGCGAATATTCACAAAGCTCTGAACAATTTCACTCAGGAATCTTTAGAGAGGAGCATGAAGGAGAATGAATTTAAGACGATTCTTTTTACACTCTGCTACTTCCATGCCGTGGTATGCGAACGTCGCAAATTTGGACCTCAGGGCTGGAATCGCATCTACCCATTCAATAATGGTGACTTGACGATTAGTGTCGATGTACTCTACAACTACCTTGAGGCAAATAACGAGGTACCTTGGGAAGGTCTGCGCTACCTCTTTGGGGAGATAATGTACGGTGGTCATATAACCGACGATTGGGACAGACGCCTGTGCAGAACTTACCTGGAAGAGTATATAGCCACTACCATGCTGGATGGCGACCATTTCCTCGCTCCTGGTTTCAAGGTTCCTCCTAATTCCGACATTGCCGGCTATCACAAGTATGTTGATGACAACCTCCCACCAGAATCACCCTATCTTTATGGAATGCATCCAAATGCTGAGATTGATATTCTTACTGTGGAATCGGATAAGCTGTTTCGCCGTCTACTCGAAATGATGCCTCGAGAAAGCAAGGAAGGTGAGCAAACAGGTGATAGCACGGAGGGCACTGTTCAAGCAAAATTGGAAGACATACTCGGAAGGCTACCAGAACTATTTAACATCCAAGATCTGCACTCGCGCGTGCCCCCGGAGGAAAGGACACCGTTTGCCATTGTTGCCCTACAAGAGTGCGATCGCATGAATATCCTCTTGAGGGAAATTTCACGTTCTCTCAAGGAGCTCAGTCTAGGATTGAAGGGTGAACTAACCATTAGTCCAGAGATGGACGCCCTACAAAACGCTCTTTTCTTTGACGCAGTTCCACAAACCTGGGCTGCTAGAGCCTATCCCAGCCTTTATTCATTGGGTCTATGGTATGCGGACTTGATTGCAAGAGCACGCGACTTAGAGATTTGGGTGACTGATTTTGCGTCCCTACCGAGTGCAATTTGGCTAGGAGGATTATTTAACCCACAGTCCTTCCTTACTGCAATCATGCAGCAGATGTCGCGGAAGAACGAGTGGCCGCTGGATCGGGTGACGCTGAATGTGGATGTAACACGAAAGTCACGGGAGGAGTTGACTGGGCCTCCAAGGGATGGTGCTTTCTTGCACAGCCTGTTTGTGGAAGGTGCAAGATGGGACACGCAGATTGGTCAGTTGGCGGACGCAAAGCCCAAAGAGTTGGTAGCTGCTCTGCCTATAGTTTTCGTCAAAGCCATTCCAGTTGACAAGCAGGACACTCGAGGCACCTACGCTTGTCCTGTGTATAAGACAAAGGGCCGTGGACCTACTTATGTGTGGACCTTCAACTTGAAAACGAAGGCTAAACCTGCAAAATGGGTGCTTGGTGGTGTAGCAATCATTTTGCAAGTTTAACTCCCAGCAGCGATTGTTTGATGCATATAATCACTTTTCTTGCACTGTGCATCCTATCTAATCTACTTGGTTGTTATAAGTAGTAACTTACTTTCTTCCTAAGGCAAGCGAATCAGTGGTCTTCTAAGTGGTGACGCCTTGTTGGAACATGGAAGTGAGCATTTAATAAGCATCAAGATGAACAGAAACGTAACTGGCTGGGATGATAAGATGGTGTGGGATTGTGAGTTGTGGGGTAAGAGAGGTTCAGTCTATTCAACCACCGCCAGACCTCCAATCAGCTTAGCATCGAATGCAACGATAGGTGATATAATGGCATATTTCAGCCTAGGTGGATTTCGGCAGGTCTTTTAGGTATCATCACATTTCTATTTGGTGCTAAATTAAGAAAAATAAAAAAATCTAACATTGCTTCAATAATTGCCTCTCTGAAGTTGAAGTAAAGTGTGACTGTGATTTGCTCTCTAGGCACTATTTTCATTCCACTGGTTTAGAATTAGTTTCAAATCCCGTTGTCATCCCAAAAAGGTTTCCTCTGGAGGCATTTGTGGTGTCTTGACCTTATCTTACTTAAAGGGTGAACTGATTAATTTAGTTACCTCATGGATTACCATCTTTTGAGAACTTCAAAAAAAGGCAAATGCAATTTCAGAAGGAGTGCGTTTTCATAGGGAGAACCAAAGGGAGCACACTCAACAACACCGTGTTATTCAATTTTGTTTTAGATGTAACCAAATAAACTTACTAGCTAGCCTAGCCATGGAGTCAGAGTACTTGAAAACCTGAAAATCTTCTCAAAGCTAACTGTCGATCTCGCTGTCGGCTACTGAACTCCTATTTCCACCTCGACTGGGTGATGTTGTGAGGTCACTGGTGGGCGAAGTGGATGCCCTGAGCTCAGTCCATTGTGGGTGACTATAATTGTGCCAGCCCGTCCCTCTCAACATGTTACGCGGAAGGGAACGTTTGAAATCCCGCAGGGGCTCACTGCGTGTCTTCTGGCAATTTAAGTCGGGAGCAAGGCAGGAGCACAAGACAGGTAAATGAGACCAAAATATCGAGCAACTCGGCTAACCACGAGGTAATTAAGTGTAAGCGTTGATCAAATCACAACTCAAAACACTTCACGTTGTCAGGGTAATGAGGCTGGAGCAGGCGTTATCAACCTGTGGTTTTCAGTGTGACTTGGACTGACAGACGAGAGGATTGCATCTCGTTATTATCAAAGTGACAAGGTGATTATCCATGGCAGACTCGTGGACATGAGGTAAACACTGCTTAAACGTAGTATTCGAAGGTTGCTGCCATTGCCACCGCCAGTATTTCTGCCTTTCACCCACCCATGGCCCACCTCTTTGTTTGCCTCCTGCATGTTCTAAACGTTAGCGAAACCGCATACACCCAGCGGCATTTAGCTTTGGTGGCACTGAAATTCGACCTGATTGGCATTATTTTATAAGCGAATTGACAGATCTTCGCATAGACGGCATCATAAGACAGTAATTTGGCCATAATTACATCGGTTTGTCTCTTTAATCATCCTTCTTCTCTTACCATGAAAGGGTGATGCGTAGGCTGTGAAGGGAACGAAAAGTGATCTCAATTTCACTACCTCCACAACTTCTGTCTTCTTTTTTGGTGCTTTTGCTAGGCCTTTCTTAATTAAGTTAAACAAACAACTGACTCCATCAAGCCCAGCTGAACTTTTGTGGTCGAAGACGTGACACCCTTTAGCACATTTTTGCTCATCAACTTCACTACTATCAGTCCAGCAGGAGTAATCAAATGCTGACAACATTGGCTGGTAAAATCGCATATTACAACCATACGACAAATAATTGTCTCAATCCTTTGACTTTTTTCCTTTTCTCTTCACTGCATCCTGATGACATCGTGTTTTTGGGAATTTATGTCAGGAAGGTGAGACCTTCTAGCCTCTCTTGCCTTCATGTTGATGTAACAACAACTGCGAAATCGCAATCTTCTCCGTGGCAGGATGAAACTAGACCAGTTCACTGACCGTAGTTTCGATGACCTGCTTGTCCCGTTCCCTTGGGTCCAAATCGCAGGCTTCTGGCAAGCTTTTAACCGCCTCGAGTATTCCTCCCCATGCAGGACTGATAGTTAAGCTGGAAGCATCAATTTGGTCTAAAAACGCCTTCAATGCTTCGTCTTGATTCTTAAAATGATGTTACAATAAAAGAATCTGTCGATAAAAATGACATTTTCGGTCATTTGACAATGGCAGAAGTCCTGCCCTCTTTGGCCTACGTAAATTTGAGCAATTTTGGGAAGATTCGATTCTCTCAATGTCCGTGGTTTGCGGTTAGTTAACTTTTCCTCCGATGTGCACTGCGAAGGCATGACTCATGTTGAACTTCGAATTGGAGACCAAAAGTGTTCGACGTGTTGGGACGTGGTGTTGTTGAATAGCTGCATTCTCTTGACTGACGCCTCCTTCTGAATTTTGTGAGGAATGCAAAGAGCGAGGCGTACGGCTGTAGGCGTCGCCACTAAGCCAGACGCAGACAAACAATTGAGAGACTTGTTTTGTTTAGGTGAATCGGTGAACTGCCGTTCCAGTCGGACTGAGGTAAGGCTGTGGTATCAATAGGCAGTAAATTCATTGTTGGAAGCATATTTTCTTGTCTCTTTTAATGTAGGTGCCTACTTTAAAACAAAACTGTGTTTGATACCGTGGAATCACTTCGCTTTTGAAAATCACAGTGTTGAGCAAGGGTGGATTAGGTGGGCTCACAGGATTTAGCCATTTGCCACAATCTTTTAGAATCTTTTCGTTGGCTTTGAAAATGTTAGTTGTTGCCTTTGGTTTGGATGTGATCTCAACCGCTCCGCAGACAATGTCAATATTTGCAGTCCGTAGACTCCAGTTACGCCATGAAGGGCGACCGAACGGCCCAACGAATCTCTCACCAACTTTGAATGGGTGGCAGAAGGGCGGTTGAGGGAGGGAAAATAAAGGCGAAGCAAAGTGATTAGCTAAAGTTGCGTGCATTCAAATGGTTTGATAGGTGTTAACTTACTTTCAAAGACCTTCACACGTGGCAAATTGGGTGAAGATCTGCAATCCACCACCTTCGGTACTTGAGATACGGCTATGCCCCCCACTACTCCATCTTTAAAATTATGAATACCTGAGTTAAAGTGTCAGCGTCCTCCTTAGGTTGCTAGTTTGGTATCCCACTCCTACCATTACCAAATAAGTTGCCATGGCGACCGATCTCAGATTGTCACTTGCAGTGCCAACTGGAAAGTATCCTTACATGTATGTCAGTGGCATCACAAAGTAACAACTATCGTTTCTTTCCAAGCGGACCAATAGAGCAAAGGTTTCGTAGTTTTGGCAACAACTTTAAAGCCGTCATCATTTTATGATGATATGAAACGATTTACACAGAGACACAGTGTGTGCCTAAGGAATGCTGTTTGTGATGAGGGACAGTGAAAGATTAAAACTGTCAAAGAACTCCAAAAACTCTGAAATTGGGTTTATGCAAGGTTGAGCAGCTCGGTTCCATAGTACCACAAAAAAGTGAGCGAACCCTTCAAAACAACATTTGTATGACTTGGAAGCCTACAAAACTGCAAAGGAGAGAGAGTCCGCACTCAATTCTAAACATGCACAAATCCAAATGGAATATTTTCGAAAGTGGCAAAGAGTATTTCAAACATTTTGATGGCATCCGATTGAGCAACTTCGATTACCTTCAGTCGGGAAGGTGAAATGCACATTAGGTAGCTCGTTAAAGTAAGGCATTGAAAAGTGGAAAGAGATCTGCTTTGCAACAAATGATAGACCTCTTCACCTCGTCCACGCTCGGCATTCAAGATGGTAATGCTTGAACCTACTTAGAGGGCGTCCAGGCATTCCTTCGCAGCGGAGACAGACTTACTTATGTTCTTCTGTGCCGAGGACTGCCAACTCCACTAAATCCTACCATTAGCAAAAAAATTCATTCCATTAGTTGAATTTTTGCGCTGCAATTAGGCTCATCCTCACAAGAGATCTTTCAATGAAGGTTGCACGGGACTAAAACAACTGTTTGTGCAGCATCTTAAGTGAAGATAATGTGAAGGATCGTCAGGTCGAAGCGGGAAGCAAAAGTTGTGAATGCCAACGCTTAGCTGAAGGATGCGGTTGTTAAGTGTATGGCCCGTAGTGCCACGTCGCTGCGGAAGGTCAGGCATCATGTGAATAAAGTAAATAAATTAATTAATAAAAATCTTTTTTTCGAGACTGATCACTGATACCTCCTACAACTTTGTCACGGTTAGGGACTTGAGGAACTCAAAGCCATCTTTTAAGAGGACCGTCGGATGCCTCGGCACAAAATATACTAATAATAATAATGATTATTATTATTATTATTAATGAAGGTGTCTGTAGCTGTTCATGCCCTCGTCCCTTCCTGCTCATTTGGAGGGAGGAAAGAAAAAGTATCACAAAGGCGGTAGTCGGAGGGATACACGTTCACAGAGCCACCTCGGAATGAAGTGCTGGCGTAAGGCGCGATTTGGTGATTACCGAGTCCATCGAATTGTGGAATAAACAAAATCTTAGTAAAGTGGTGTCCATTTAACAAGTGTCCTACAAAGTTGGCATCTCGTCACTTAGTAGCTCAACAACGACGCCAACTTTGAAGGCCTAGTCGGCTTTGCCAGTCGTGCGTAAATTTGAGCGGACGGTAAGAGCGTCATTGTGTGATTTACGACTTTTCTGTGATAGCATTTTAAAATAGGTGCCGTTCCACATCTCCTCGAATGGACTTCCTTGAGTTGCTAGACGCACTATTCTTTCAAAGCTACTCTTTTGACTTACCTAGTGGTTCTGTGTGGAAATCAAAGCATGTGTGGAGAATTGTCATTTAGGGGAAGGGTGACTGGAATCCATAAACCACCCGCTTCGTGTTTTTTTTTAAAACAAATTGACGAAGACTGTGTGCTAGGTGAATTCGCATCGTTATACTACAAAGGTAAAA